ATACACTCAAGAATCATAAGGTACAACACTTAGTGATAGTCATAGGTTACAAATAAACAATCAAATCATACTAGGAAACAAATAAAACAATATGGCATCTTCATAGCACCACTCAATCCCTATTGCAGGAATATGGAGCCTATCTGCGCCCTAGTCAATCAGGGCGTCTCTAGCGGCTAGCAATAGGCGATGCTGCGCCCCAGCCAATCAGCCAATTCCTCGACATATGACCTGGCTAGCTGCCAGGTCATATGTCGAGGAATTGGCTGATTGGCTGGGGCGCAGCATCGCCTATTGCTAGCCGCTAGAGACGCCCTGATTGACTAGGGCGCAGATAGGCTCCATATTCCTGCAATAGGGATTGAGTGGTGCTATGAAGATGCCATATTGTTTTATTTGTTTCCTAGTATGATTTGATTGTTTATTAGTAACCTATGACTATCACTAAGTGTTGTACCTTATGATTATTGAGGAATGTATTCTATGTTATTTTTCTTTACGTACACTGAGATCATAGGCACCAAAGACAAATTCCTTATGTGTCCAATCATACTTGGCCAATAAACAATTCTTATTCTATTCTATTCTATCACTAATGAGGAAATGGACTGTCACTAGTATAGTATCAAGACACTCATTGTTAATTTGTAGTATTTAGCTGAAATCTGACTTCTTACAATTTAAGACAATTAATTCTATATCTCAGGCATAGAAAAGGTGAGATTGTCATCTTTTACGTGGCACTTTTGTTATTTTTTTCCTCTTCTTTTCCTTAATGTAATTTGTCCCCAATATTTATCATTTTTTTTTCTAATTTTTCAGATAACGTAATTTACACAAATGACTCTGAATTGTTTTCAGTACTTTTTTAAGCTGAAGGAGCCGTTATCTTAGTTTGGGGTTCTTACCTTCAGGTCTCCGTCCTCCAAATATGATGCCCTCAATTGGGACTCCTTCTGGATTTTCCCAGGCAGGGTCAATAATAGGACACTGGCTAGCAGGACAGCAGAATCGGGAATTGGGATGAGCACAAGGCTCCTCTGTTCAAATATATTCAGACAAATATATGTCACACTTTCATCATTGCAGTAACCAAAAATTCTACCCAAATAGTAAGAGAAATGGAAAGATAGGTCTCCTTCGTACCATTCTCGGCAGTCCATGTTTTCTTTTTCCAAGATAAGAGAGTGACTCCTGGTGGAAGTTCCTGATCAATACCTTCCCAATATACACCCCCATCACTAGTTTCTCCTACGTTGGTGAAGATGGTATTCTTTTTTATAGTCTTCATAGCATTGGGATTGGTTTTCACAGAGGTTCCAGGAGCAACTCCAAAAAAGCCATTCTCCGGGTTGATGGCTCTTAAATTACCTAGGAAACATTAGATAAGATGCTACCTTCAGATAATCATTCACAAGATGGCTAAGATGCCAGAGAGGCAGCGGAAATCTTTTATATTATCACCTCCTCTTCTTTCTGTCCATTCATCACAACTTATTCTCCTCCCTCTGACTGTTTATAGAGATTCTCAGCCATCCCAAGTCATTGTTGTTCCAAAGGTGCTTTCCCAAAAGGCAACTGAACTTTGTTTTTGCTTGAAGATGTTTCGCTTCTCATCCAAGAACTGAAGAAGCTTCTTAGATGAGAAGCGAAATCTCTTCAAGCAAAAACAAAGGAAGCCCAATTGCCTTTTGAAAAAAGCACCTTTGGGGCCTACCTCCAAATATCCATCAACCCAGTCTTTGGGTGGGATGCAGTGAATCAGTGGCTAAGGCGCTGAGCTTGTCAATCAGAAAGGTCGGCATTTTGGTGGTTCGAATCCCTAGCGACACATAACAGAGTGAGTTCCCATTATTTGTCCCAGCTTCTGCCAACCTAGCAGTTCGAAAGCATGTAAAAATTCAAGCAGAAAAAGTAGGAACCACCTTTTGGGGGAAGGTAGCAGCGTTCTGTGCGCCTTCGGCATTTAGTCATGTTGGCCACATGACCATGGAGAAGTCTTCAGACAGCGCTGGCTCTTTGCTTAGAAACGGAGATGAGCACCGCCCCCTAGAGTCAGGAATGACTAGCACATATGTGCAAGGGGAACCTTTACATTTACCTTAGTCTTTACCCAATTCTACTGTAACGTTTCCTTACTTTCACCTCTATTTTTTTGTCTTCCTTAATTTCATCTGGTACTTTCGGGTTGAACTGGGATTACCGCTCCCAAAATTTAAGCTAGTATGGAAGGATAGTGACAGCATGGGGGCAGGCCACCCTAACTTTGTAGTTGAAATATCATGTGCCTCTTAAATGATCATTTAGGTTTCTTCTCCTCCTTCACTTAATCACCTGCATTCACAAAATGTGCTATTTCCCATCCCGCCCTTTTAGTCTCTCCTGGGAATGTTGGAATAGTCTCCCATTTTGTCCAACTCAGTCTCATCAGTTACATCCTCAAACTCCCACAGCTTCAACCTCTAACTGTCTACCATGGAACTCGCCCCATTCCTAAGAGGTCCGTAAAGGGGGCGTGCATAAGTGCGCCAGTGTCCCTTCCATCCCTGTCCTCTTGTCCCCATTTATTTATACTCATTTCCTTTGTCCATGTCCATGTTTATATTTATCCCTGTTATCTTGTAATGTTTGACAAACTAAATAAAATAAAAAATGAAATATACTTCAAGGGCTTGCCACACATCCTTCACCACCTCTCATTCTATAAAGAAATCCAGAACATTAGAGAAAGCCCTTGGAGAACAATCGTTTTAACGTTCCAGGGCTTGGCATTTCCAGAACCCTTGACTCCAACTAAAACTGGTGTAACTTATAACAATTGCCGCAAAAACTGCTTTTTGGCCATACTTCTGGCAAGCTCAGTAGCTCACTGGAATAATCTCACAGTTGAAATTGAACTGCCCCCCTTCCCCATTCTTTCTGAAGGCTCCCAGAAAGACACTTAAAACTGAATTATTTTGTAAAGCATTTTAGCTTGGATTTTGCCATCAATTTATTTTTACTGGTAAGTGGGTGTAACTTATGAAATCATTTTGTTTTAGAAGTTTTTAATTTATGCCATGGATATTTTACTGTTGCCTTATATCATGCAAACTGCAAAGTCGATTTTGACTGCCCAAGGATATAAATTCAATATATAAATAGTGCACACAAACGCCTGTCTCAAATGTATACGAATTAATCATTACTTTTTCCTTTCTTGGAACAACACCACAATTGATGGGAGGGAAAAGATATAGATGAGCATAGTTTCCCCAGCTAACCGGAACAGAGCTTTGGACCATCAACTCCCAGCTGAATTCTAAGTAAATTACCTTTGTCGTCGAATTTCATCCAAGCAATATCGTCTCCAACACATTCCACTTTCCACCCTGGCAAAGATGGATTCATCATAGCCAGGTTGGTTTTTCCGCATGCGCTAGGAAAAGCTGCTGCAAAGTATTTTTTTTCACCTTTTGGATTCGTGATACCTAAAATCTGTTTAAAAACACAAGGAATGTTTTTTCCCCCCCCAAAAAAACTCAACATGCCGCATCAAGCAAAAACATTAAGATAGAATAGAATTCTTTATTAGCCAAATGTGATTGGACACACAAGGAATTTGTCTTTGGTGCATATGCTTTCAGTGTACACAAAGAGAATAAAAATAAATTCATCAAGAATAAAATGGTACACCACTTAGTGATAGTCAAAGTTACTAATAAGCTATCAAATCATACTAGTAAACAATAAAAACAATATAAATTGAAAAATACGAGGAACATGGTTATAGTCATAAGTGTGTAGAGATAGATACTAGGAAGGAAGAGAAGAATAATAGTAATACATTCTTGGTAAATTATTGACAGCGTTGTGGAAATCACCATATTTTTCGCACTATAAGACACACTGGTGTATAAGGTGCACCAAGATTTTGAAGAAGTAAGTAACAAAAAAAGGACCATTTTTTGCAAAAACAGGGACATTTTTGCCTTCCCCAGTCCTGCTAAAGCCTGCAGAGTATTGCTGGGGATTGGGGGGAGGCAAAAATGCCTCCATTTTTAACCCATTTTTCGCAAAAATGGGTTGTGGGGGTGAGGCTTTGGAAGGCCCAAAATGGTTGTATTCAGTGTATAAGATGCACCAACATTTCCACACTCTTTTAGAAGGGGAAGTTGCATCTTATACTCTGAAAAATACGGTAGTTGTTAAGCAGAGTGATGGCATTCGGGGAAAAACTGTCCTTTTGTCCAGTTGTTCTGATGTGCAGTGCTATATAGCATAGTTTTGAGGGTAGAAATTGAAACAATTTACGGATATGAGAGGTCTGTAGATATTTTCTCAGCTTCTTTTTGACTCAGATCCTCAATGGAAGGGCATATGGGTAGCAATTGTTTTTTCTGCAGTTCTAATTATCCGTTGAAGATATATGAAGTGTTTTAATGGCAACTTCCAAACTTCTCATTATTCTGAAATTGCTTGTGACTTCAACTAGTCTTGTTGCAGGTGAAATATAGTTCAGGGAATGTAAAGTTATACTTCACACCAGGGGTTCCAGCCTTGGCAACTTTTAAGACTTGTGGACTTCAACTCCCAGAATACCACAGCCACAGGATGAAGTTGAATTCTTAAAATTATCAGGGAGTTGAAGTCCACAGGTTTTAAAGTAACCAGGGTTGGACAGCCCTACTTTACACTGTGCTAAAATTGTATAGCTGTACATACATTTTCTTCAGAGTGCCTATACTTTTCTCTGTTTGAGGAAATCCCACTTTGAGATGAGAAGCAGAACATAAATGTTATAAATAAATAATTGCATGTCTGCTGCCTAACCCTCAAGGACTCTGGTTGGCTCACAAATAAATATGTCCTTCTAAATTTTTTATTTTTACTCCTATTCAAAGCATTTGGGGACTACTACTTTAACTTCAAAATAGGCATCTTGTGAAAAATAAGGCAGGCATACAAAGACTGAAATTTATCTCCCATGCCTAATTCATTCTTCTGGTTGCTATGCATGGATTTTCCATATTTAAATATTTTGCTACTTGTCCAAGCCACGTTGTGATAGAGACTGTAACTTACAGCATCTTCAAAGCATCACTTAACTATTGGAATGAAACCTATCCTCATCATTATTTTGGCACCATATAGGTAACCATATAGGTTACAACAGTTAATTTAGTAACCTTTCAAAGTCACAACAGTACTGGGCTCATGACTGTTTTTCACACTTATGAGCATTGCAGCCTCCCCAGAGTCATGTGATCAAAATTCACACACTTGGCAACTGACTCATACTTATGACGGTTGCATTGTCCCAGGGGCATGCGATTCCCTTTTGTGACCTTCTGACAAGCAAAGTCAATGGGAAAGCCAAATTCACTTAACAACCCTATTCCTAGCTAAACAACTGCAGTGATTTGCTCAACAACCATGGCAAGAAAGATCGTAAAATGGGACAAAATTCACTTAACAAGAGTCTCGCTTAGCAACAGAAAATTTGGGTTCAATTCTGGTCATAGGTCAAGGATTGCCTGTAGTTGAATGATTCTGGAAGGTTGTCGGTGGAGAAATTACTTTGGTTTTACTGGGAGCACAGCATCTCAGCATAATTTTTGAACTTGTAGGTGTTACATGGCTTAATTTAATAGCATCCCCAAATTGGACATCCTGAGCCAAGTATGCTGGACACCCTCAGGGAATATAACATACTGAGAATAGGTATTTATTCTGGTTAGCAGAATTGACCCGAGAGTTTACAATCTTCATTAACAACATTCTAGTTGGGCCCCTATTCTCTGTGACATTATTTTTCCCCATTCCTGAAATCAGAAAGAATTTGCTGATTCAAACTCATATTTCCCCCCCCCCCCCCCGTGGATGCCTATCTATCGAAACATCCTTACAGTATTCAGTGAAAATCCTTCTCCTTTTTTTTAATACTCCAGAGATGGGGTCTAGGAAGAACTAAGCAACCATGAACTTCCATTCATAGGTCTATAGCTGTGATGGCAAACCACAGGTGGCACGCAGACCCCTCTCTGTGGGCATGCAAGCCGTCAAGCTCCACCACGCATTCGTGCGCACCTCCCATCGGCCAGCTGAGTTTCAGGTCTCTGCGGCACATGCACCGGGGGGCGCATGCAGGAGACGTGTGCGCATGCACAGAGGGTGGGGAGATTGTGCGCACATGCACGGGGGTATCACAAGAGAGGTTGTCACATGTGCATTGCATTATGGGAGCAGGCACTTTCAGCAGGTGACAACAAAAAGGATAGCCATCACTGGTCTATAGCCTTGCTGGCCCTGGATTGATATCTTAGCCCGTTGACTGGAATTGAAAATAACTTAGTTGTTAAAACCTTTCTCACCAGCATGTGCTCCGCAAGCCAGCCCTCTTCCTTGGCGATCCTGCTGGCAATTCTGAGAGCAAAACACTTCTTTCCTAGAAGAGAGTTTCCCCCGTAGCCACTTCCAAAGGAAATGATCTCCCTGTGATCAGGGATTTGAGCAATCAACGTCAACTCTGGATTGCATGGCCAGTTATTCACGAGAGGCTCTGCAAAAGGCAAAATAGAGTTTGTTACTTCAGATTGAGTACATGAAATAAAGGTTACATCTTTTTTTTTTGTATTTTTGGCATGTACCCTTTCAAAACTAGAGAGCATGAATATACAGGTAGCCCTCGACTTACAACAGTTCCATTTAGCAACTGTTCAAAATTGCAACAGCACAGGAAAAAGTGACTGATGACCATTATTCAGACAATCATTGCAGCATCCAATGTGATCAAAATTCAAACGCTTGGCAACTGGCAGGTATTTATGACAGTTTCAGTCTCCTGGGGTCCTCTGATCTCCTTTTGCGAATCTCTGACCAGCAAACTCAATGGGGAAGTCAGATTCATTTAACAACCCTGTTACTAACTTAACCAAGGTGGCACAGTGGTTAAATGCAGCACTGCAGGCTACTGCTAGATCAGCAGGTCAGCGGTTCAAATCTCACCGGCTCAGGGTTGACTCAGCCTTCCATCCTTCCCAGGTGGGTAAAATGAGGACCCAGATTGTTGGGGGCAATATGCTGACTCTCTGTAAACCGCTTAGAGAGGCCTGAAAGGCCTATGAAGCGGTATATAAGTCTACTGCTAAGTCTACTGCTATTAACAACTGTCATTACTCACTTAACAAATGTGGCAAGAAAGGTCGTACAATGGGAAATATTGCCTTTACAAATGTGTCACTGGGCAACAAAAATGTGGGCTCAGTTGTGGTCATAAGTCAAGGACTACCTGTAGAATAACAGAGTTGGAAGGGATCTTGGAGGTCTTCTAGTCCAACCCCCTGCTTAGGCAGGGAGCTCTAAAGCATTCCAGACAAATGGTTATCTAATCTCTTCTTAAAAACTTTCAGTGTTTTTAACTTCTGGAGGCAAGTTGTTCCACTGATTAATTGTTCTCACTGTCAGGAAATTTCTCCTCAGTTCTAAGTTGCTTCCCTCCATTGCTTCTTGTCCTGCCCTCAGGTGCTTTGGATAATACATTGACTCCCTCTTCTTTGTGGCAACCTCTGAGATATCAAACACTGCTAGTCCTTCTTTTTATAAGACTAAACATATCCAGTTCCAACAACCATTCTTCATATGTTTTGGCCTCCAGTCCCCTAATCATCTCTTCTCTGCACTCTTTCTAGAGTCTCAACAACTTTTTTACATCGTTGCGAAATTGGATGCAGTATTCCGAGTAGCTTACACCAAGTACCTGTATTCCTTTCCTCTTTTGTCTGGTTACAAAAAAAGTTGAGTTGTAATACAGTGCAGAGTTATTTGCTTAGCTAGCAGTGATACAGTGGCTCGTAGTAGACCACGTTCTTTGAAAAAAGCTAAGCCTTCATGGGAGCTTTGAGAAAAAGATGTAATGGGAAACAGTGGACCAGATTGCACTTAATTTTCTCATCCAAGCTACAATTCAGTCATTTGGAAGAGCCCCAAAATATTTAGGAATGCTTTGTTGGTTCTTTCTTTAATGAATAATTTCTGGTTTGTTGCATTTAATGACCAACCAGTCCCAACTTACCATCTCTTATTCAAAGAGATACTTGGCAACTCCATAACTACAGCGCTCTGAATATTCTGCTTGGTGAATAAATTAATGACAATTATCTTTTGGGAAAGACAGGATGAACAAAGTACATTTTAGCTTAAGAATGGCTTACTTTTTAATGGTAAAGGGCACCCAACCGAATGGAGGCATTTTACAAATTCTCCATCACCCAGAGCCTCTAGGACAGATGTTCCCATACGAGTCATAATCTTCATACTGGCCACCACATAAGGAGAATCAGTCAGCTCAATCCCAAACTTGGATAAAGGAGAACCAATCGGTCCCATGCTGAATGGGATGACATACATGGTCCGACCTGCAGAAGAGAAACAGAGGATAGAATCCTAAACAAAATTATAGCTCTCTACTAAGTTACTATAGTAGTTTTAGGAAAAGATTGGACAACCATTTAACCAAAATGGTATAGCATCTCCTGCTTGAGCAGGTGGTTGGACTACCTTTGGGGCCCCAGGGACCACTAAATTCATAATTTTAAATCCTACAGGCCACTAATATGATCTGCCTAATGACTGGCTGGATGGTGTGGCTAGGTGGTCATGTGATTAGGTGGGCATGGCCAATTCGATGTCACTCACATTGAGGGGCGCCTCGCCAGCTTCTACTCGTCCCTTCTCTCCCAGTCATTTCATTTTCATTTCATTTATTAAATTTCTATGCCGCCCAATCCCGGAGGACTCCTCAGTCACTCCTCAACTTCCCACCCGGACTCCTTAAGGCCCCAACAGGAAGCAGTTGTTGGAGCTAAGCAGCCACCATGAGAAGGAGTTGGCAAAACAGCTGGATTCAGATTGGATCCGACTGAGAAGGAGGCTCAGCAGAAGCACCTCACTGAGAACTACAAGCAGAGGCTTTCCAAGCAAAGGAAAGACCTGCAGGAGTGCAAGGCCAGATACTGGCACCTGGAGGCTCAGTGAGCTGAGATGGTTAGCCAGTTCCAGGCCATGATTCAGTCCCACTGGAACAAGGCCCTCTGGCTGTTTGCCACCAGCGGCACATCCCTCCATTCCTTCCAAAATCAGCATGTTAGGGCCAGATTCCAAATTCAGGAGAATTAAACAAACATTCTGCCAGATAATGGGAAATGGATTTATTGATTACGACTCTTTAGCCCCATGTTTTACTGCAAATGCCTGCCAAATTCCAGCAGTATATCATTAAGCTGTTCCAAGTTTAAGTTTAGAAGATAAGTGTAGATTGCAATCTCATTCTATCTTTGTGCTCTCACTAAGGAAGTTCAGAAGGCAGATTTGACAACTTGATCATCAAAGAGGACATATCAATAACATTGGGAAGCCTTTAAGTTTTGCAGAGGTTCTGGAACATTCGCAAGGGAAGATGTTTGAAAAAAATAAAGCGGAGGGCAGCTCTCATACAGAGCTATCAGGGAAGGAAACACAAGTGGAGCTAAACAATAGGAGCTAAACAATAGCACTCTATATTGTAACTTTTTTTTTTGCTGAAGATCAATCTGGGCCATTCTAACCCTTCACAAAATACATTTTAAGAACTAGATGACTGGATTCCAAAACAGTAGAAATAGAAATAACACTTATATACTGCTTTACAGTGCTTTTACAGCCCTCTCTAAGCAGTTTACAGAGTCAGCATTTTGCCCCCAACAATCTGGGTCCTCATTTTACCCACTTCGGAAGGATGGAAGGCTGAGTCAACCTTGAGTTGCTCAGAATCGAACTCCTGGAGTAAGCAGGGAGTTAGCCTGCAATACTGTATTCTAACCACTGTGCCACCACAGCTCTTCCACAGTAGTTCAAGAGTGACATACTGCTGTCCATTCAAATCCAGATGTGACTTCTAAGTAGACTAGCAAATCTAAAGAGAGCTAGTATAAAATAACTGGCATTGTAGGCCCACCCAAACACAACTATAAGTAAACCATCATTCTACTGGTTATCCCTTGGTAAAAATAATTATAATAAAGGCGTCATTGGTTGTGGCGTTCACACTCACTCCATTATTAACAGAATTTGCTCTTTTTTGTTGGGCTCGCAAGGACTGCTTAGCCATGGGACAAACAAAAGAAAATGTTTTGTGAATATCTTTGAAGAAATGTTCTTCTATCTCTTCTATGTGAAAAGCTGTGGTGGCGCAGTGGTTAGAATGAGGTACTGCAGGCTACTTCTGCTGACTGCTGGCTGACTGCAATTTGGCAGTTTGAATCTCACCAGACTCAAAGTTGACTCAGCTTTCCATCCTTCCGAGGGGGGTAAAATGAGGGCCCAGATTGTTGGGGGCAATAAGCTGACTCTGTAAACCCCTTAGAGAGGGCTGTAAAGCACTGTGAAGCAGTATATAAATCTAAGTGCTATCTCACCGCAGGTAGGAAACTGCAGTATTTTACTTCTAAACATAAAATTAGGGGGTTTTTTTGTGTCTCTACCTTCCATGCATCCAGGGAACCTGACCCTGAAGGCTTTCTCAAAATCTTCTTCTGACATCCACCGTCCCAGCTGGCTCAATCCGCTTTGGGGGATTGGGATGGTGTCTCGCTGCTCTGGTGTCACAATTACAGTTTTGCTTTCAATTCTGGCCACGTCCCTTGGATCGGTGCAGGCTAACCAGCTGTGGAGACGAGAAGCTGAACATTTACACTTGTCATGTGAGCAATAAAAATGACAGAAATCCAATTCAATTTCTCCTTATTTCAAGACAGTCTAGCACCATACAATGCTGGATCGTGAAAGGAATATTATTTATTTAAGTGCAGTCAAACCATTGACTCCTGGTGATGTTTTGCTAATGAACATGACTTTATTCTGTATAGAGACATTTCACAAATGGGGCCCAACTCCTACTAGGTTCTCAGCTATCTTTTTAAAAGATATATATCTTATATTTTTAGGGAGGAGAAGCAGGAAAGAGATAAAATAAGCAATAACAACCTCATTATATAAAATAAGCCGTATATTCCCCATTTCTAATTGGAATGAAAAATATTGGAAATGCCTCTTTATATTTATTTCTAAACATTAAAACTTCCAGACGCTTTATATTTACTTCCAAACATTAAAACTTCCAGAGGCTTTATATTTATTTCCAAACATTAAAACTTCTAGAGTTTGTAGAATGGAATTTTCAGACTCCATCATTGGAATATTAGAGACAAGATCTCAAGATACTTTCAGTCCGGGAGAATCTTTAGGGCAGTGTCCCCCAACATTTTGGGCACCAGGGACCAGTTCCATGAAGAGAGACTTTTCCACCGCCCAGAGGGGGTGCATGATTTTGCATGCTGCCTGCATCCCTCAGATGGGGCTTTGCTTATTTGCTCTAGGCAGAATGCTACTCATAATTCATTTGAAGCTGCTGCCTCATCTTAGAGACAATTATGAAAAAAATGAGAACTGGGGCTGCATTTCCTTGAAGGTGGAACTATGCATACACACAGAGACACAAACATGAATGCATGCATGAATGCATGCATGTATGTATCAGTGGTAGGTTTAACAACCAGTTCGGTGATCACAGGCTTCGCTCCTGAGGAGGAAAACAGCTGAGGCATAGCAATCCGCTCTGTCGTGCGACTAAGTGAGAAGATATAGGTCAGTAAAGCACAAGGGTGGGCTGGCGAGCCCACTTATTTGTCAGAGCGAACCGGTCCAAACCGGTAAAATCCTACCCCTGGTATGTATGTATGGTATGGTATGGTATGGTATGTATGTATGTATATAGCAGTGGTGGGTTTCAAAAATTTTTAGAACCTCTTCTGTAGATGTGGCCTGCTTTGTGGGAGTGGCTTGCTGGCCATGTGACTGCATGGGTGTGGCCAACTTGTAAAATGTGGTGAAATTCACTTAACAACGCTCTTGCTTAGCAACCAAAATGTTGGCTCAGAAACTCTGGCATTTGAAGCACGCAAGTTTTAAAGCTGTCAAGTTACAAGACCTTTGCATCCCTAACCCTTTAGGAAAAAACACCCCAGGGGTGTTGAAACTTGACAGCTTTAAGACTTGTGGACTTCAACTCCCAGAATTCCTCCTCTCGCTCTTCATCTTGATGATGTGCAGACAGGCGAGGGGAGGGAGCTGGAACCGGTTCTAAACGGCACTGTAGATTTGTGGAACCTCTTCTATAGAAGAGGTTAGAACGGCAGGAACCCACCCCTGGTATATAGCCAGTTTGATCTAGTGGTTAAGGCACCAGTCTAGAAGCAAGCAACTATGAGTTCTAGTCCAGCTATGAAAGTCAGCTGGCTGACTTTGGGTCAATCACTCTCTCTGAGCCCAACTCACCTCACAGGGTTATTGTTCTGAGAAAAATAGGAGGAGGAAGACGTGTTGGACATGTTTGATGCCTTGAATTATAGGTAAAAAAATAATAAAGGTTGGATACAAATTATATATATAATACAAATATGTGTGCGTGTATGTGTATATATATATATACATATACATACATACCTGCAATATATACGTGTGTGTGTGTGTGTGTGTGCGTGTGTGTGTGTGCATATCTCTATCTCTATATCCATACCTATTCCTTCCTCCTTATTTTCAGATGTTGCTGCTTGCCTATGATAGGAAGGAAAACATTAACTTATCTCCTTCCTATGCTAGTCTCCATATTGACTCCTAAAATAACAAAGCAAAATTTTATGAAGCATTTTAGAGTTGCATATACTGTAAAGAATAAGGTGGCCAAGCTTCAGTAGATTGTTTTAGAATAGAATAGAATAGAATAACAGAGTTGAAAGGGACCTGGGAGGTCTTCTAGTCCAACCCTCTGCTTAGGCAGGAAATCCTACACCATTTCAGATAAATGTTATCTAACCTCTTCTTTAAAAGATCCAGTGTTGGAGCATTTACACCTTCTGGGGGCTCCAATTTTTATTTTATTTAGATCTGTATTAAGACTTTTAGCATATCTTATATAAACGAGACATACAATGAAAACTCATTTCAACTAACCTCCAATTAATTTATTTAACCTCTAATTGTAGGGAAAGTCTGGTAAATCAAAGAAGACCATCAGTTCAATAAAGCAAAAGATGCACACTATGTTACTTGGGTCAAATTATATTATTATACTGGTGTGATTGCATAAGTTGTGCTAATCACAAACTGGTGTTATTGTTGAATTGGCATAAATTGCAATGGAATTTGATCTGTGACATGAGAAGTCTGTGGTATCAAGTACTAACAAATCTAAGTTTCAGTGAACTAGGAAACTAAAGATGAGATAACTGTCTTATTGGCTTATTCTTCTAGATTCCAGCTAAATTGTCTGTTTTATTTTGTGTTCTTAAAGTGCTATGTGTGTAATTATTCTTTTAAGCAGTTGAAGAAATAAATGTATAAGATTTCTCCCTAAAGTTTGGAAAAAGGGAGAGCCAGTCTGCACTCTATATACCCGTTTCTAGAAATTAGATTTATAGTTGCTTCACCAGACCAGATTTAACCCCCCCCCCCCCCCCCGTGGCTTAAATCATGTTACATTTACTCTGGGCACAAAAGGTTGAATGCATTACTTGATTTTATTCCATCTTTTCTGCACAAAGAAGCTAGATCCCAAAAATTAAAAATCAGAATGACTGCAAAGTGACAAAGAAAGGTGGTATTTTTAGAAGAAAACTAATGATTTTGAGAAATATTGCTATCTGAAGTTTTCTCCAGCTAAGACATTCAATAACGAGAAAATCTTTATCTATTGATGTTTTGATAGCTACGTAGCCACTAAAAATATGGCACATCCATTAAAGAGTGGCAGTTCTGTATTGGAATAATGTAAAAAAGAAAGAAAGAAATGGAACTTCGGTTTTTATTCTTGCCTACATTGAACCGTCCAGGAAGAACATAACATTAATGGCATTAAAACACTTATGGACAGTTCCCCATTGCTGAGCTGAACCGCTCTCCATCCCTCATTGATTTAGTCGGGTATGGCATTTGCTGCCCCATAGCTGATCCCTATCTTGTCTTTATTGTCTCTCTTCCTGGTTACTTCTCTCTTCCTGGATATCCCTCCAAAAAGTTTTGTACACACTTTTAGGATGCTTTTGGATAATGCTGGAATAAGGGATAAAACCCAGAGGAGAGAAAAGTTACTTCAACCCCTTATACCACCGCTAAGTACAAGTTGGGGGAAGCCCTAAGGAATGGAACATGGTACAGTAAATCATATATTTGGCTTTGCGCAACATACAATAGTGGTCACTTACCAATTTTCATATTTTCTAAGCTTCTTGATCATGCCTTGTTCCACCATGAGCTCCAAGATCTTTTTGTTCTCATCCTCTGATCCATCACAGATGTGGATGGCCTTCGGTTGGCACAGCTTGGCATTGCTTTCAATGAACTTTCTCACATTGGGTGCCAGGCTCTTGAAGTCTCCTTGGACCACTTTTGGAGTGGCATTCATTCGTGTTTTCACTTGGGGTGGCATTGCCTGTTCTTTACCACTGATGAGGATGGTGAGAATATTTAGCCTGTGAGATGAATTGCGAATTATACAGAGTAAAAAAATATGTCTTTAGTTCATTAAAATGCATAATTGTTGGCAAAAAATACCCCTCTTAAGGTGATATTGCCTTCAACAGAACTGAACTATCCAGAACTGATGATATTTCAAAGGGTGAACAACACATTACGCATTAGGTGCTTGGAAATTATCTCCACCAGGCCACTGTCATTGGTTGAGTTAGAACTGATGGGTTCTGGCATCCAACAAATCTGAAGAAAACTTATGTTAGTAATCTTTACTTATACTAGCAATATCCCAAACTGAAAACATCAAAAGTAGAAGCCAGGAAGAGAAACAACAGGATTTTTTGCATGGCGTGAATAAGTTCTACTATCAACTTGCAACTTTTCTCAAAAAAGAAGCATTTTTTTTTCAGACTAAGCAATACAAGTCACCCCAAACAACTCCATCAATTTTTGGTTATCAAACTATCAAAATGCACGCAGGTGATTTATATATGTAAACACTTACTTTACCAGAGTAGTTTCAGTTCTTAGCTTGGGAGAAGATTTTTAGTTGGTCCTTTCAGGGAACATGATGCTGCTCACTAAACTTCTTCCTGGGACTTCTGGTTTCCCTTCCTTAAATACTCTTGTCTTGCTTAGTCCGTCCCACCACTCAAGGTAAAAGAGGCTTGTCTCTAAAATCACCCCAGGGAAAAGTTCTTCTGACATCTTGCCAAGGATGGATATCCGAAGAAACAACGGTAGTCACAAAGGGTTTATCATTTAACTGGCTCCATTAATGAGTGTTTGAAGTAGATGCTCTTCAGACCTCCTGTCTTCTCAGTGGGGGGTTTTTTTTTTAAAGTCCCGTTTACGAAATGCCTTGGCTTGACCAACCTTTGGCCCAGTTCTAGCCTGATTGGAAGGGGGGGAACCTGTCGTCACTACTCAGTAGAAGTGAAAGGCTGAGCATACACAGCAGATGGTTGCAGCAGCTGGGACTGAAGGCACTTGTTTGTAGTATTTAGAAAAGCAGGTTTTGTCGTCACAGTAACGGCCTGTTGGCTGTGAATTGGAGGCTTGCCCTGGGTGTGTTTTCTACCCTTTGGATTCTCCCTAAGAGAGGAAGAAAGGAGGAGGACTAAATAGCAATTCAAGAGCAGCCAAGGCAATGTTTGCATTCTGTTCACATCTCATGGTTCCCATATTCCGGATGAATGGAAATATTTTAATTTGGCTTGGAAGAAGGGGTCGGAGGTGCATTGCTTTGGATACTTCTTCCGTTTTTCAGGGTAGCAAGTTGTTCTGTCACCTTGTAGTCTAGATCTTAGTAAAATTCAACTATTTCCTTCCTTTCCTGTTTTTGTTTTCCAAAAGTAGGGACAATTGTTCATTCCCAGGATTAACTGAATGCATGCGCAGAACTGAAAAACAAGATGGTGGCACCAGCAGGAGAACCGGTTTGGGGACGTGACAGGCCTGGATCGCTGCCGGTTCCAGCGACCCAGGCTGCCAAATCACTACCAGTTCGCTGAACCAGTCCGAACTGGTAGGAACCCACCACTGAAGTGGACTATTAGCTGTATCCTTCTTCAACATGCCACATCAGAAGAGGGAGGCAAGCTATTCTCCAAAGCACCTGAGGGCAGGACAAGAAGCAATGGGTGGAAACTAATCCAAGAGAGAAGCAACTTAGAATTAAGGAGAAATTTCCTGACAGTTAGAACAATTAATCAGTGGAACAACTTGCCTCCAGAAGTTGTGAATGCTCCAACACTGGAGGTTTTTAAGAAGGTTAGATAATCATTTGGCTAAAGTGGTGTAGGGTTTCCTGCCTAAGCAGAGGGTTGGACTAGAAGACCTCCAAAGTCCCTTCCAATTCTGTTATTCTATTCTATTCTATTCTAATATGGATGGTGGAGAGAATAGTCCATTGCCCTGTAGGAAGTATGCTGAGCAAGCACAAAGAGCAGACAAGATGGAAAGGAGGAAGAAGTAAGGCGATCACATAGAAGATCAAGATGTACTCTTTAGCAAGAGGGTAAGGAATACAGATAGTCCTTGACTAACAACTATTCATTTAGTGACTGTTCGAAATTACAACAACACTGAAAAAAGTGACACAATTGTTTTTCACATGACCTTTGCAGCATCTTCATAGTCACATGATCAACATTTAGAAGCTCAGCAAAAACAGGCATGTGTTTATGACGGTTGTGATGTCCCGGGATCACATAATCACCTTTTGCAACTTCTGACAAACAAGAGCAAGATATACTTACCAACTGTGTAACTAATTTAACAACTGCAGGGATTGACTTAACAACAGTGGCAAGAAAGTTAGTAAAAGAGGAGAAAACAAATGTTTCACTTAACAACACAAATGTTGGGCTCAATTGTGGTTGTAAGTTGAGGACTACCTATATGGCTTCAAGTTACAGCAAGACAGATTTCCGTCAAATGGCACAAAAAAACCTCCTAGCAGTTTGAGAGTGGAACCAATTACTTGAAAAGGAGGGATCTAAGTCCCCATGTCCCTCCAAACAAGGACTGGAGAGCCCTCTGTCAAGGGATGTCTTGATATCTTAAGTTTAAAAGTACATCAAATAAATAAACCTACCACATGTGGTCAAATAGTCAAGATGGCAGCCAAAATGGTATGCCTGAAGCAGAGGTGATACTCAACTGGTTCAGACGAACCAGTAGCAGAAATTTAAACTGGTTTGCCGACCGGGCAAATACCACCTCTGGCTGGCCCTGGCCCTACCCCCAGCCACCTGCTCGTCACCACTCACTCCACCCACTTGCTCACTCTGCCCACCCACTAGCCCCGCTTGCCCCACCTTGTCGTGAGTAACATTGAGTTGGCCACGCCCACTCAGTCTCATGACAAACCCCCCCCCCCCCAGGAAGTCACATCTACCAAGCCACGCCAACAGAATAGTAGTAAAAAACTTTGAATCCCACCACTGGCCTAAAGCACCATTTGGGGTTTTTTTATATGGATTGCATGGGTGGGCGTTTTGATCATCAACTGTGAATATCCCTGCTGGAAGACACCAGGGCCGAAATCCAACCTCAGAGAAAAGGTCTACATGACTACCTAAATGCTGTAGAACAGAGGAACTGAAAATGGGCAATCACTGCTCTTAGAAATCAGGCAAATAAACATAAATCAGTCTGTGCTTCCCTACTGACATAGCAAGATTTTGCTTCCTTCCCTCTATCTTCATGGAAGCCTGGATTTAAAATAAAAAGAGTCAAAAAAAAGACATGGGTGGATGAAAGAAACTCGAGAAACAGAATCTAATGGAGCAGTGATCAGATGTGCTCAAATAAAGTGCATAATCTGGACAATTTTTTTTTCTCATCATCATCAACCAGATATATCCTTTGTTCCACAGTTTGTGTGTGACAGCACAATAGATAGATAAATATATGTACACATGTATGTATGTGTGTGTGTGTGTGTGTGTGTGTGTGTGCGTGTGTGTGCGTGTGTGTATGTTCCAGCACAACTCTGGAATGTCTCAAGCAATTTCAACCAAACTTCATACACAGATGACTTACTCTCTGGAAACAAATACTATGGGGGTAAGACACCCCTAACACCCCTCAGGGTGTGTATTCTGTTAAGATACAGCCTGTTGTGCCTTAAAATGGCTTCTACTGCACAGCACAGTGGAGTTGCCATGGTAACGGCTTCACAGTACTCCACAAGGGAGTTCCCTCTGGTAAGGGGGAAACTCCAACATTAGAAATTACGTTTGGTCTGGACATTTGTGAATGTCTAATACAAAATTGGGATAAACAAATGCCCAGGCAATGCTGGGTTAACAACTAGTTCACAATAAGGGTCAACATCTGCAAGACAGTGCCAGTGGCTGTGCAATTAAAGCCCTGCCATTCTTTTTATCTAAACCTCATCCTGTCCTTTTTAACCACCCCATCCCAATACCCCGATCAAAAGTATCTTGAAAATAAGGTGGAATAAAAGAGAAGTTTCATACAGACAGTTGGAGACACAAGAAGAATCTTTTTTTTTTGCAGGGGAAGAAAATGTAATACAGTACAGATCGTACTGAAATTTGTACCAAATGAAGATTTCATTATAATATTAGCAAAGCCGATGATAAAGATAGAAATGTAGGCCTGTCTTAACTGTGTTGAAAATGTTTTACTTGCAGCAATTTCTTTTCCTAAGAGAGGCCAAAGTATAGAAGTTCAGCAAGTGCAGAGTGAATCGAAAGATAACTATGTCACTGCCTCAGCTGAATTGCACAACGGAGTGCCCTCAGGCCTTGTATTTAGAATATTCTTTAAAGAATTTTTATTCTTAAAAAGAATTAAATGCAATTATGGAGCAAATGGTAAGGGGGTGGGATTATCTCCCCCGTATAGAGAGATAGCTATATTTGAGGCTTTTTAAAGTAGAGAAACTAATAAAGAGAGAAGTGACAGAATGGGATAGAATAATGCAAAAGGCTCAAACAGTTTCCCCATGTCTTCTTATATATTAGAGTTTGCCCAATGAGTTTGAACTTGTGGACAATTCATCGTCAAAGTTAAAGTACAGAATTTGACTGACACGGTGCAAAGCTAAACTAAATTACTTCGAACAAGAAATGGGGTGAAGGCCACCAAGATGGCTTTAGAAGAGAGCCTGCATCAGTTCATGGAAACAGGTTATCAGCATCTGCTAGATAGGATGACCTCTAGGATCAGAGGCAACATAACTCTTGAGTACATCCCTTGCTGGACAATAACAGAAGCTGGACTAAAGCAGCTTTAACCTGATCTCCTCGGGTTCCTTTACGCTCTGTCAATAACTCAGTAACCAACAGTTGAGCAAGTAATTGCGTCAATAAACAACATATGCTCCATTCCATATGAATACTGAATGGCGGAGCAGGCAATGAAGGAAAAGGACATTCATGGTCCCCAAATGAATTTGGCTAGTTACTGGTTGAAACACAGCACTGTTCAAAAGAGACTTTCAATAATGGGCAAAAAAAGATATCAGTGGTGGGGTGCTGTCAGTTTTACAACCGGTTCAGTGAGCACACACTTTGTACCCATGTGTGTTTTCCACATGCACAGCTCTGAAAATGGAGCATTTAGAAGCTCAGATGCGTAACTTCCAAGTCAGCAACGGTAAGGAAAACAGCTGGGGGAGAAATCAGCTGTGCCATGCAATTGAGATGAGCTAGAAAGCAGGAAATAAAGGACAGGGTAGAGCAGGGACGGGTGGGTGGGGCCAGCTGATTATCGGAGCTACCGGTTTGCCTGAAGCAATCCGAACTAGCTGAATACCACCTCTGGATATTATGTCTTATAGAATGAAAGCTTACATTCTACATGGGGCTGCCCTTGAAGAGTGTTCGAAGACTCCAGTTAGTCCAGAGCGCAGCCGCACGAGTGATTGTGGGTGCACCCAGGTACACCCACGTCACACCTATCCTCCGCGAGCTGCACTGGCAACCCATTAGTCTCAGAATCCGCTTCAAGGTGCTGGTCGTCACCTATAAAGCCCTACAGGGCATCAGCCTTGGGGACCTGAGAGA